TGTTGTAAATTTTAAACGTTTCTCACCATAGCTGTAAAAATCTAAATATGTTAAACTTAATAGTCATTTGTTTTCTAACTAATTCGTTTTAGGACCAGGTGTTGTCCACGGAAATTTCCAAAATTTACAACTTTTCGGTCATTCTCGTTAAACTTGAAAAATTTCTGTCTTTATTACATCTAATATTACGAAGAAATCAGTCCACACTGTACTCGGTTAAGCTTTTAAGTAAAATTTCGGCTCTTTCATCAGGGTTTTATTTATGTCCCCAATTCCCTAATCGTTTAATTATTTAACTACTTCTTAACCACTCGGCAGTGAGCGAGACATATATCTGTGAAGGGCAATCATGTGGCAGTAGTGAGGGACGAATATATATGTCAAATTCTTTTGGGGGTGGTATCACCAAAAACTAGTCTAAAACTACCATGAAAAAAAATTCACATAAAAAATGAATTATGTAACAATAAAAACAGACTTTTGTCTACTAGACATAACATTTACAAAATCTTTTTCCGAAATAGTAATGAGAAAAAAACACGTGGAAAAATACTTTAAAAATTTTGCACGTTTATTCTCCACTACTAAGGGTTAGCACCATACCTGACTATTCCACTGTTGAAAGGTTAAGTAGAAATAAGTTAAAACCAGTTATTTTGTATTTGAACATTTGTAGTCTTGGGAAAAAAGTGGAAAGACAAATCTTTATGACAAACGAATACATAAATCGTAAATTTAAGGAAAATAAATTCTAGAGCTTTTTCTGTACCTCGTGCATTGCTCTCATTCATTAAATTTAGTTGTAAATGATGCTGCCAAATTAACAGTTAATTTTTTAACATTGTACAAGAATTGTACACGTTTGTTTCTACATCCCTTTTTCTACGTTTTTTTTCTACATCTGGACATTAAGGGGTTAATTAAAGATGGGACATATGAAATCGTAATATCACTGGTTTAAAATTAAAATCCATAAGTAATATAAGATGGGAGAGCGGAATAAAAATATCAAATATTTTAATGGATTTTTTTTAAACTCCTGTCAACTATACAGAAGTATCATAAAAACATACCAGTAAATTCTTATTGGTTGGGTTAAGTTATAAATCTACTCATGATTCACATAATCGGGTGAGGGCAGCCAAATATCTATCAGGCAGGCGGCTAACAACCCAGAACCAGTCCTGGATAGAATCATTGGAAGTGTTATACGTGTGTAGCTTCCACTAGCTAAACTGGGTGAGGTTGGTGCTCTGTAAAGCGCATGCGCAAATGAGTATAATCTGGCTGTTTGGAAGCTGACAATATAGCGCTTCCATTCCGCCACTGATATTCGAATATACAATAGCAATCTTATCATTTTTTTCACATATAGTATAGAAATTTGTAATAAGATATATAATGCGGTTATAATAAAATATTAATTTTAATTATATGAAAATATTCGCACAATATGTATTTATTTTTTAGAAAATACAAGGGAAGCAGTGCTTCCACCGCTTCCAATGATGGCACACCACTGCCAAATAGAAGCTTTTTAGAATTTTGTGTTTACACAACTGTAATATTGTCAATTAAAATTCAACAAGGAAGATATTTAGTTTTGATTCCTGAATTTCTTTTCTAGAATTTTATTTTTTAACCATTGATATATAAAATAACACATTCAATTAAAAATGTAATTAATTTTACAAAATATTTTCTAAAAATATTATATTTTAAAGTTTAATCACAATGATAAAAATTATTCAATTAAAATATGGGAAGTAGCTGAATTTTAATATATTTCACTTTATTTGGTTAAAACAGATATATCCAACATCATTTGTTTACATATGCATATCCATACTTCTCTTAGAAATGAGCAAACATATCAAACCTTAAAAATTCAACATTTGTTAAAGTACTTGATGTAAATTAAAGTATTGTATGTCAAATGTACTGTATTTGTTCCCAACGGAAAACTTGCACTAAAACCACAACATTAGCTTATTGCATGACAAAATTTTATTATATAACCAGATAATTAATATTTCAAATGTCAATCCTGTTTCAAGTTGTCCTATTCATTTATTCATTCATTCAAAACCAGCTGCAACTTTTCCATAGGATTATAAAAAGCAATACATGATGTTATAGTCATTTCTCAATCAAAATATGAAAGTTACAGCTAAACTATTTTATATTTAAAAATTAATTATTTTCCATGTAACTACATTCTAAACATTAAAAAAAAACAACTTTCCTAAATTAATTTAACTGTCTGAGAACTTTGTAAAGAGAAAGTTTAATTAAAAGATGTAAGAAACCTCATGAATAAAGGAAAAAGTTTGACAACTTACTAAACTAGTAATCTTATTTTATACTATTTAAAAAAAGTCAATAAACTAATTCTCATCAGAATAATAAAATATAGCAGTACTTAACATTTATTCAGTTATAGAATTTAACATTTACCAAAATACATTTATATAAACAGAACAGCATAAAGAATGCACATGTAGATATTTACCAATTGGTCGGGCATCGTCCGTAAAGTCATCTATTGATTCTGCATCGGAAAACAGGTCTGAAAATATAAAAATTAACATCTGTTATTTATCAAAACAATACATTTTAAGTAATCATCATCATCATCCATTTGTCATTAACTCATAAAAATTTTTTAAAAATTCAAAATTATAAATTTTGGCAACAATCCACTTTTAAAAAATAATTCATCAAGAACATATTTTTTAAATTTGATAATAAATTTAATTGTGTAAATTTTTTCAAAAATTATTCTTAAATCACAACAACAATCAGCAAAACAAAAAATTTTACCGTAACTAACATTTTCTTCCATTTATAATGGACATTGCCACATTTAGCTGATAGAACTTAAATGAAAGATCAAAAATTTTTAATGTATTAAACCAGTATTTTGACAATTGGTATTAAAATCATTCTTATCCAAATTGTTCCCATTTTGATTTTATTGGCAATACAGTTGTATCACAATAAATATTTACACAACGTTGGAAAAAATAATGTCATTTTATTTAACTACATATACCATTGACTTATAATGTTATCTGATGTGAGATAAGTTTATCTAAATCAATATTAAAAAATTAAACAGATTATAAAATGAATATTAAAATCATTCTCTAGGAACTTGTTTTATTTTTAATGTTGACATAATTAATATTGATAGCAGACTTTAAACTAGGTAATATAAGGAAGCCAATCGATGATATAGGGTAGACTCTATTGAAATTTCCTATTTTTATAACAGCTATATTTCAAATTACTTCATAGAAAATATGTGATTTTTAGTTGCTATAAATATTAAATTTCATTTATTTGTAATAAACTATATATTTTGCAGGAGTACAGTTAAAATAATTACATAAAACTTTAATTACTCAAATATTTACAACAAAAATGTTAACAAACAACTCTACAAAAACCCAACACATTATAATACTAAAGCCAACCACAGCCATATGTCATTGGGCTATATAATGGCTATAATAATAATAAATTACCAAACATTAATCTAAATTATTTAATTAAAAAAATTATAATTATTAAATTTATTATGAGATGGTGACTAATGCCTCCCTTTAGTATCAAATTGTTTGGCAATTTATTATTATTATAGCAGTTATATAGCTCAATGACATATGGCAGTGGTTGGCTTTAGTACAAAAATATTATTTAAAGCTTTTTGGTACAACTGAAATCCAAATCAGAATTAAATAATACTCAATTATGTATTTATTCAATTTTTAGTCAAATCGAAAAGCTTCCAATTAAAAAAAACAATTTCATTTGATTTCTAGTTATTTATTCTTAACAAAAGTATTTTAATTAAATAGGATTTTTGAGATTGTTAACTTTTGGTTATAAAGATAAGTAATCAAAAGCTAACTTACAGTAATATTGCAACAAGAATATCAGATAAATATTAATAATAATATTCATATTTTACAGCAAATAAGATACAACTTGCAATATACAGTAGAACCTCGATTATCCGGACTAATTGGGGATGAAGGTAGTCCGGATAAGGAAAAATCCGGATAATGGAAGCATATACTTTAATTTGTCTTTTAATGATAATACAACACGTTTTCTTTTCGATGACATATCGGTAATATTAAAAGTAAATACTGTATTTAAATAGTGATCAAATTTTCAAGAAACAAACGTTCGTATCGAATTTGGACTACTACTGACCAACGCTACCAGACTACCTATTGTTTAAAAGGCCTTCTGGTGGCGCAAGAAGACGGATTTTATAAAATAAAAAGCAGTTGAACTGCATTTTTATGAATAAAAATTTGACAAACTATTTATCGTTTTATGACGAGTAAAACTTTTTCGTCGCGTTCACGGCTTTTAAGTAATGCATAAACCTTCCAGGCGCGAGGCCCTTCGGACCGCGAGGCATAGGCGGTGGCCCACGTCGTCCATGCCTTACGCCGCCCTTGGTTATAGAAATGATGTAATTTGAATATAAATTATTTATAAATACGTATGTCAAGTTATATTTTTATTACTACGTAAAATATATTTAAGAGTTTACGACCACTGTGCTGGGTGAGACGTTGTTGAAACAAAAAAAGTTATGCATTCCATCACGTACATAAACATAAACAGTATTTCGTAAAACAGTGTCGTAATTCGCCAAGTGCAAATCAGCAAATTCGTAAAATTTTTGTTTATTTTG